TAATTCGCGGAAAGAAAATGTTGGTTAAAGGACTGATGCAAGGTAAAGTCTATAATTCGAGATAAGTTAGGTAATGCCAAGACAACAAAAACATACCCCGCAGAGGACTGCGGAAATGAGTTGGTACCAAGTGTAGATGATACGGATGGATGTATGACTTATCATACACGCATACCTAGATTAAGTGTTTCTGATGTTTTTCTCCGTAATGGATGTAAGGTATATTATACAAGTGAAGAATTTTCCTTCCTTGTCCGGGTATGTTCAGGATTTACTCTGTTCATACCAGATGTACCATAGTGTGTTTTCTGTGCGTAAGAACAAGACTTATTTGATAGATGCGTGTTTCGGTCTACCGATTACGTCTCTAGGGGTTGTTACCGACTCAAGACAAGCCATCTCATCTGCGTGATTGCAAACGGAAGTAATGAGTAGTAGCTCGTGTAATTGAGCAATGTGCTTGTACGTGGACAGCGATACGGAGTGTAAGATACACAAAAGGACGGCGGTGAGTCGTCAAAAAAGACTCATCCTTTTCGACCCATACAGGATAAGACCATAAAACGTTAAAAAGTTCTTGAAAATAGAATTGTCTGGAGAAGCTATTGCTGGGCTAGCTATATGAACAATATAGTAGTCCATAAATATTTGCCCATAATTAACTAAAATAATTTAAGTTTTCCAAAGATTTGGTTCCTTAAAAGTACTTCAGAAACACAACAATGTTGCAGAGAACGAGTTCCCTTATTATCCCTTTTTGGACTCGTTCTTAAACTAGTTTTTTTAGAAAGCTATGCCAATGATTTAGTTTCTTCTATGTTCCAGAAAACGAGTTCTACTATTCATGAATCTGGAGTGGTTCTTTTTGGACCCGTACTTAAACTAGTTTCTTTAGAATGGTAATGCCAAAGATCTGATTTCAAAAAAAAAATACTTAGAAATATTTCAGAATAACAACAATGTTCCTGAAAACGAGTTCATGAATCTGAAAAGTTTGAACAGATCCCAAATTTTTTTTTTGATTTATTTTGTGTTAAAAAATGCAATTGGACGAAAAGGATTGAAAGGATTGTGTAAAATACTATACAAAATAGAGAAATATGTAAAAAATTTTACAAGAAAACGATCACGAAAACTATTTCTTGACTTCTAAAGTCCCTTTTCGGTTTAACCTCATAAATCTTCATAACATTTTATAATGGAATAATATAGTACCAGAAGAGTACATTATTGTTTTAAGTAGTTCTATCACTGTATTCAGCAGCTGAACATATAGAACGTGAGTGCAAGTGATAGAATGTAAAACACAATGTTTTATTATTTTCATTAGTGTGAAAAAAGAACCCCAATATTGTTCTAGGATAAACAATGGACTGGCAGCCAGTCTTTGGTTATTAATTTAATATTCTAAAAATAATAATAAAAATTTTAAATTTAAGTAAACTCACAATAAAATTAGTAAGGCTAAAATTAGATAATTAATAAATTATGTTTCATAAATATTAAAATAACTACATAAATATGATTGGTGTGAATAATATTAAAAACATTTATGAGGTGTTAGATATTTTTTTAAGAACTAGCTGTGTTAAGCATTTAACATCGATTAACTTATGTATGTAAATAAATTATAATAAATTTTAAATTATGCATTTGAAAATTTTTGATTTTGTGTAAATTTATAAATTATTTCATCATGTTACAAGATTCATCATGTCCCTGATAAAAACACAAACATTTAACAAATGTTTTCTATTCCGCTATTCAAATATAATGAAAATTTCTTTAAACTTAAACGTTCAATATCGATTGTAATGTGATATATGACAAGAGAAATACTGTGCTGACATTGTTCCAAAAATGTCAATATTAACGAAATATATATGATGAGTACAATGTTCAATTAACATTGCATGACAAATACTTAAATTCATTGATTTTATTTTTATACATACTATTTTATTTTTTCTCTAGTAATTTCGTGCTTAAGCATAGTTACAACAACAACAAAAATATTCCTAATGCGACAAAAAAAAAAATAACTAGAAATAACAATAAATAAATACGTTTCGAATAATGTGACAGTGAATGGAAAAATCATCAACAAACGATAGTGGAGACAATTTTCAAACTCACACCAACAGTTGGTGGTAAAAGTTAACGATCAGTTATTGCTTAAATTCTTCAACAATAATTTATATTCCCTGAACAAATTTTAGAACTTGTTCTAGAACGAGTGTAAAGAGAACCACAACCTTGAAAGTAGTGATATCGTCATTACTTCTAGAACTAGTTCCTCGGAACATTGTTGTGGTGGTTCGAACATTGAACGAACATTAATTGCTGAAGCTATTACGGAGGCATATTTTGTCCAATCATTTCTTAATTAGAGAATCAGTTTGTTATTCTACTTTTCTCCTGGTTAAATTAAGGAGATCATCATTATAGCTATACAGTTCAGGTGAATTGTTGTAAACTTCCATAATTCTAGGAAAATCTTGATCTAATAAATTCTATCAAACAAATATAATCTGTCAAATAGATTGGAATCTCTTCATCAGAGAATCAGTTATGATATGCTGTTTGTATAGTGGATGGCTTAATGGTATAAACTAAGGCTGTTCAAACTCTCTTCGAAATCCTATCTATCTATTAGGTTGCGTTGTTAAGTATAAGAAAACGTAATCTGTCAAAATTAAGTTGGATTGCGAGATTCGCTTATAATATAACGAATATACTTCAAGGCTTTAAATTTCCACATTTAAATCAAATGATTAGGACAACTAACCCTTATTTCGAGAATATTTCTTTAGTTTACTTAAATCAAAAATGCATTCATTCTCAATTCAACATCGTAATTATCAATTCTGAAATCAAGTACGAATCGTGCTTAAATCAAACCCATTTTGGGATTAATTAAATTTTTTTATTTTTATCTCAATGATTACTTTGACCCAAAAAGACTTAAATTATGTTTTCTTACTTAACGGAAACGTAATGGACTATAGTTTTTTTTACTGGTTTTAAGAAAAATTGTACTTCTGAAACCGCTCCAATCACACTACTGAGATGGCTCTGTTGATTCGACAACAGCACCTAGGGCCACAAAGACCCACAGTAATGAGTTGAGTATGTTTTAGAGTAAACTCTAACACACTCAACCATGAAGGAAAATCGCCGATAAATTAAAAAAAGGGCAGTGACGACCTTACACCACAACTCCGCTTTCGTCTTGCCAATTACTCCTTTCGCTTTCGTCATCAATTACTCCATACGCTCTATCGAATCAGAGTAAACATCAAAAAACACCAGAAAAACTTCACCTCGTATTCCCAATCTTTGCATTATCAGCTCAAATCCATCATTTTATTAATCCACAGTCATGCTCTGTAGTTTGTACCGCTCCTAGCATCTAGGAACGATAACAGAAATTCATCATGAATATTATATTTCACCGTGTATGTCTTTTAACCTACGTGGATCCCGAAGGAACCTCAACCAACTGACCAGCCAGGAAAAGTCCTGTGGGCAACTGGTGCTCTGGTTAGACCTCTTTTCAATTCATGCAAAGACTAGGCCAGGCAGTGAATTGTAAAAACCAGTTTATAGTCCCGGCAGACTAAAGGTATTGGTAACACCTCTTTTCCCCTGGATTGCAATACACCAAGATGCGGTCTATCATCAAGGAAACATGTCCGGGCAGGCTGATTTGGGTACGATTTATTGAAATCAGTTTTTGAGTATAATGATAGAATTATGTTTGATGTTGCGATTAGATAAGTATGAAAGCTATTAATTTTTCCGCCTTTATATCCTAAAATTTATATTAACCCGAACAAATTTCATCCCGAACTTCTTTATATTTTAAGAGATTTCCATCTGGAACCAAAAATAAGTAATAATCTTTTTCTCTGCAATAGAGACCCAGAAAGTTATGAATATTCTTTAAGTTGTGATAATAAACCACATGAGATCCATCTCGTTTCTCACATAATCATGTGATATGAACATCATCTTATGACTCAAGATTTTGTAAGAGAACTGGGTCCCCTTACAAAATGTTAAGTTTTCGAGAAGTTAGACTAAAAAGAAATAAGTGTTTGAAAACTTTTCTCCATCACTATACATTTTTATAAAAGCAATGCGTATTGCACTGTTATTACAATTTTTATATTTCTGTGGCATTTAAACAGTAAGTATTAAACATTATTGTGCGAGAGTTACGTTTACATGCCTCAATAGAATTGATATTAAGTAATTGTGGAAATAAAGCCATTTTTATGGTTCAACCAACAACGCAACATGATAAAAAACCTTAAAAATATATATTAAAAACAAAAAAAAAAGAAATAACTAGATGACAAATACATATACAGTGGAGACAACATGACCAAAACATGAAAATAACAGCTAGTATTACGAGGGCAGAATTAATAGATCAATAGAATTAATTGCTTTTTACAAAAACTAAATATTGTATAAGATTCTGATTTTAAGTGTATATAGCTGAATTAGGAATTACTCAGTGACTTTATAAGAAAAATATGAATGCTTGCAAAGATACAATTTAACTTTTATTTGCAATTAGAATTCATCATATTAAGTGCATCTCAAGAAGTTGATATCTCTAGGGCTTTTTGATTTAAAAAAGATTTCTCATACCACCTTCGTATTATTACAAAGGTATAAGCAATATTACGATAGAAAATTTAAACTAAATATCCCCAAAAGCTTTAATGGAAACCATTAAAATGCACAATATTATTTTCATTCTTTTCTTCCAACATGGTGACCTCATGTATATAATTCTCAATTGTCTTCCTGCTAGCGAAAAAAACCAAAAACTGCTAAAGAAAAATCGGTGAAAATCATTTTAAAGAATTTCACAAAAGCCAGACCATTTTCATATATAATCATTTACTATTCAGTATAGTTGTTGTTTTAGTTAAGTAATTTCGTAATTTTAAAATAAAAAAAAATAAATTTTTATTTATTTTCAGTTTAAATAATAAATTTTAATTCACTGCTGGAGAAGATAACACGAGCAGAAACAACAGCGGCCACTAAAAATAAAATCTGCTACTTTTAGGAAAATAAAAAAAAAAGAACAGATTTTAATACAAGATATATTTGATCGGGGGCGAAGAGACGAAAAGGCTACAAATATGAACAACATGTTGTTGATTTAAGCAAAAAATTTTAAATGCAAAAACAACATTTTAAAATCATTTTAATAAAATCAATACGCTAAACACACGCTGATCATCATTATTAGTCTATTTAAAATAGAAAGAGATGTTGATTAAGGAGTATCACATCCCACTGCCGCTCACGGTGGAGGAGTATCGTATAGCTCAGCTGTATATGATAGCGGTAAGTATTTGCTATATAATTAATACCAGTTACGAAATCTCATTAAAACTTTTAAGTTCTAAAAATAATCTGAATTTCATAAACTTCTCTATGGTCCCGACTGTAGGTACGAGTAGTATAGTCTCCACTATATATTGGTCTATACGCTCTTCTATAGTTTAGCTGATTTCTCGTCTATAGTTTAGTCTATAGGTTCAACTATTAGATAATAGTATAGACTATTAATGAGCCTAAAGTCTCGACTTCAGATTAGTGTATAGACACCACTATAGATTGGTCTAAAGTCTCGACTATAGATTGGTCTATGGTATCAAATATACTCTGGTTTAGATTAATCTATACGAGAGTATAGAGATATATAGTTTAGGTTATATTTTCATAAATAGATTAGTCGCGACTATATATTTTGATGAGTCCAAAGTCTTGGTTATATATTAATGTATAGACTCGACTCTATAGTATCGGATACATATAATTTAGTTTATGGTCTTGACTGTACGTTAATCAATAGACTCAACTACAGCTCAGTCTGCATTCTTGTCGCAGCTAATATTGGTCTATAATCTTGTTTGTATCCTGGACCCAAATTATGGCATACGATATCGATCGAAATCTCAATAGAATCTAAATGGAGATTTCGATCGATATCGTATGCCATAATTTGGCCCTGGTCAATACTCCATAGTTATTTATATGTATTAGGTTATATTACTTTATACCTATTTTCAAACACTAACAACGAATCCTGAGGATGTATGCAGGACCTTATTTGAGCACAGTTTTATATTGTTCAAAATCAATCCATATTTCCTTGGATCTCTTAATTTCTTTCAGAAATCGAAAAATTATGATTAAACACTTGTTTATTTTGCAGAAAAAAAGTCGTGAAGAAAGTCATGGCGAAGGCAGTGGAGTTGAAATCATTATAAATGAACCCTACGATGATGGACCGGGTGGTAAAGGACAATACACCAAAAAGATCTATCATGTTGGCAGTCATTTGCCAGGCTGGATTAAAAGTAAGAAAACCTAAATGACATTAATAAAATAAAATTTTGATATAAACACAAATCTATAACTTTAGGTCTGCTGCCTAAAAGTGCTTTAACAGTGGAAGAAGAAGCCTGGAATGCTTATCCCTATACACGTACACGTTACACCTGTCCATTTGTGGAAAAATTCTCCTTAGATATAGAAACATATTATTTCCCTGATAATGGCTATCAGGATAATGTCTTTAAATTAACCGGTAGTGAATTAAGAAATAGGGAAATCGGTAAGTTATTGTCGAAAAAAATTAAAACTAAAAAATATTTATATTTTGTATATTATCACAGACTGCATTGATATTGTCAAGGATCAATTGTTTGGCGGTGATTATGTCAAAGAAGAGGATCCTAAATTATATGTGTCGGAAAAAACCGGCAGAGGTCCTTTGGGCGAAGATTGGTTGGAAGAGTATTGGCGTGAAGTAAAGGGTAAAAAACAACCCACAGCTCGTAATATGTCCTTGATGTGTGCCTATAAAATTTGTCGCGTAGAATTTCGCTACTGGGGCATGCAAACTAAATTGGAAAAATTCATACATGATGTAGCTTTAAGAAAAACAATGTTAAGAGCCCATCGTCAAGCCTGGGCCTGGCAAGATGAATGGCATGGTCTAACCATTGAAGATATTAGAGAAATTGAAAGACAAACCCAAGCAGCATTGGCGCGTAAAATGGGTGGTGGTGATTTAAGTGGTGAAGAAGAGGAGGAGGAAGAAGGTATAAGAAAAGTTCAAACTTTAAACATTAATTTTTGAACATTTTAAAACATTTATAGAAAGCATTTCTGAAGGCCATTTGGAATCACATTCGGCAGATACTGAGGAACGTGTGGTTAAAGAACCACCCGTTGTTACAGAGCAACCACCCAGCGAAGAAGTCTCTTCGGATGATGAAGAAGTACCCGAACAAAATAATTCCAGCGAAAGATCTCGTTCTCAAAGTATACAAATGATTAAATCGAAATCTGGCTCAAAACCTGGCGGTCTACACTCACCTCTAGGATCTGCGCATAGTTTTGAGTTACAGGTAAGATTTTAAGATTAATATAAATAGCTCTCTGACCGCTAAATCTGTTTAATGTGGCATGATATTTGTATCCGTGTTTAAACTTGATAAAAAAAACTTGTTTTATGAAAAAAAAGCATTATGAAATTTGGATTTTGGAAGAACACTTTCTAGGACAAATCTTCCCAATCATATTGCCAAAAACAAATTTCATAAATGTGAAAACAAAAATTCCAAACGAATCAAAATTCTTTTAATCGATCAATCAAAGGTGAGAGATTAAAATGTATGACTGGTGACTGGAAAATGTTTTGTCTTCTTATTTCTTTTTTTGGTTTCTTTACTTTACTTTATTTTCTTTTCGGTTTCTTTTATTCTTATCTTCTTTATTTCGCCGTCTCTTTTAACGTTTCCTTGCAAATGCAAAATTATTCTACAAAATATTTTTGCTCATAACTCTACATTTCGTTTAGCAGCATGCCAAAAATGCTAAGCGTAAAAACGTAAGTTATTTTTTTTTTTGTAAATTTTGAATGTTTAATGTTTGTAAATTAACACTGAAATTTATTTAACACATCAGTAGTTGTTAACACGTTTACTTAAAATGATTGAATACACATTACAGGTGGCTAATTGGCGTATGGAACGTTTGGAAGTTGATTCGAAATCAAATTCGGAAGAAGAATTTTTCGATTGTGTGGGTAAGTTGTTATCAAACTTATAATAGACATGTTTGCATTTTTAATTTCATATCTCACCAGAGGAAATTCCAATTTCAGATACAAATGACAGCAATTCTTTGGCGAAATGGAGTTCATTGGAATTGTTGGGTGAACCAGACGATAGCCCGCCGCCGCATAGTAGTGGTCAAGGCAAGAGTAAACAGGAGGATAGTATATTTAATCAAGATTTCCTAATGCGTGTTGCCTCGGAGAGGGGTACTAGAAGACAATTGCGTTCATCGCAAAGCGTGGAAAGAGGTCATGATATATCACCGCCTGGTTCGCCGGGCACACCATCTTGTTCCACCACCATTTTGATATTGGTAGTACATGCTGGAAGTGTATTGGGTAAATACCTTAAAACTGCCAAATATAGTTCTTTGTATTATATATTTGCTTTCTATTAAGATGCTACCAGTGAATTGACTTCCAAAAAATCTGATGTCACCACATTTCGTGGTTCTTTTGAGTCTGTTATGCGTCAACATTTTCCGAGCCTATTAACCCATGTAACCATTAAAATGGTGCCATGTCCATCCATTTGTACCGATGCTCTGGGCATTTTGTCTAGCTTAAGTCCATATTCATTTGATTCTTCGCCCTCAGCCGATATACCCAATATAGCGGATGTTCCTATTGGCGCCATACCATTGCTGGCCGTCTCATCACCAGAATTTCAGGACACTGTCAATAAAACCGTACAGGCAGCTAATATTGTTTACCAAGAATTTCTTAAATCAGAGGAAGGTCATGGTTTCTCTGGACAAATTGTAATGTTGGGAGATTCTATGGGTTCTTTGTTGGCTTATGAGGCTTTGTGTCGCACTAATGGCAACGATGGCACCAGTCGTTCCTCACGCAACACAGATGATGATGAACGTTTTGATGATACTGAATTGGATGCTAAACGTTTATTGGTGGCACCCTCACCGCGCCGAAGACGTTCCTCTTCCTCGAGTGATTCGAAACATGCAAAACTAGACTTTGAAGTGGGTGACTTTTTTATGTTTGGTTCCCCACTATCTATAGTATTGGCAGCTAAAAAATTACATGATTCTAAAACTGGTAAGCATCCCAAAAAAATCACTTCAAAATGTCTTCAGTTTGTGTACATTTTCTTACTTGCCAGCTCTACAACGTCCCAACTGTAATCAGGTTTATAATATGTTCCATCCTACCGATCCAACGGCTTCCCGTTTAGAACCTTTACTAAGTGCCAGATTTTCCATGCTGGCACCGGTTAATGTACCCCGTTATGCCAAATATCCACTGGGGAATGGTCAGCCATTGCATTTATGTAAGATTCTTTATATCTCCAACTAAAGCTTTGCAAGTAAAATTTATTATTTCTTTTCCTTTTTAAAACAGTGGAGGTCATCCAATCGAATCCCCAACATTTTAATGACTCCAACAACATGATGTGCGGTCGTCGTTTATCAGATGCTTCCATGCAAAGTACAGTATCCGGTCTTATAGAAAATGTATCATTAAGTACCATTAATTCATGTAAGTTTGCTAGCTAGTAGAATTTAGAAACTCCTAAAATCCCTTAGTTTCTGTAAGCCCAACATAACCCTTAATACAACTGTGAAATGTTATTTTTCTTTATTTTGACTTTTCCAGTACAAATGAAATGGTGGGGTACGAAACGTTTAGATTATGCCATGTATTGCCCAGAAGGTTTAAGTAACTTTCCAGCCAATGCTTTGCCACATTTATTCCATGCCAGCTACTGGGAAAGCGCTGATGTTATAGCATTTATATTAAGACAAGTAAGTTTTTCTTTAATACATGTATTCCATGGAGATTAAACGTTATTTATTTTCTTCAGATTGGTAAATTTGAAGGCATTCCATATGTTACATCCATGGACAACAAAGAAACTGTCCACTTTAATCCCGGCCAACCGAGAGAGAAATGGATACGCAAACGTACTTCGGTAAAATTGAAAAATGTAGCAGCCAATCATCGTGCCAATGATGTGATAGTTTTAGAGGGACGTGAACAACGTCTGAATGCTCGTTTTATGTATGGTCCTTTGGATATGATCACTTTGCATGGCGAAAAAGTTGATATACACATAATGAAAGATCCACCCGCTGGCGAGTGGAGTTTTCTTAGTACAGAGGTTACCGATAAAACTGGTCGGATTTCCTATAGCATTCCCGAACATGTAGCATTCGGTTATGGCATTTATCCCATTAAAATGGTAGTGAGAGGAGATCACACTTCAGTGGATTGTTATTTAGCGGTGGTGCCACCCTTAACGGAATGTGTAGTCTTTAGTATAGATGGCTCATTTACCGCCTCAATGTCGGTGACCGGACGTGATCCCAAAGTAAGAGCTGGGGCAGTAGATGTTTGCCGTCATTGGCAGGAATTGGGTTATTTATTGATCTACATAACCGGTAGACCGGATATGCAACAGCAACGTGTTGTTTCCTGGCTGAGTCAGCATAATTTCCCTCATGGTCTAATATCGTTTGCCGATGGTCTTTCCACTGATCCGTTGGGTCATAAAACTGCTTATCTAAATAATCTGGTGCAAAATCATGGAATCTCAATAATGGCCGCTTATGGTAGCAGTAAAGATATTAGTGTTTATACCAATGTGGGTTTAAGATCAGATCAGATATTTATAGTGGGAAAAGTGAGTTTCTCTTTTAAACAAAATTTTTCTTATAATTTTTATTTTAATATTATTTGCTTTAGGTGAGCAAAAAATTACAAACCAATGCCATAGTATTAAATGATGGTTATGCTGCTCATTTATCGGCTTTGCAAGCTGTGGGCGGTTCTCGACCCGCCAAAGGCAATGCTCGCATGGTTATACCACGCGGTTGTTTCAATTTACCGGGACAAACTACTAATCCTCGACGTAGAAGGTAAGTTTCAATTATTTTTCTAATGAAATATATTTATGTATCGGCAAGTTTATGTAGTAGAGTATACTATTGATGCAAGTATTAATCGTATGTATATAATAAAATCACCTCAGTCCACAAAAGAAAAAATCATAAGAACTTGAATTGTTATAGATAAGTGAAAGATGAATAATTTATTTAACAATTTTCAATAAAGACCTACTTATTTTCAATTCAAGTTATTATGTTTATTAAAACCTCAGTAATTTGTAATTACTAAAATGTAAAAAAAAATATAAATCAAAATATATGTATGTATGTATATTTATAAATGTATTTTGTCTTAAAATCAAAATCTGCAGCAGCACATTAATTAAAATTGTATGTATAAATGAATGTAAATAATTTTTGAGTTATTTTTTTCGATATTTAATTTTTCTAATACACGAATTCATAATTTTATCTTTGGTTTAAAGCTGGTTTAGTTACTTAACTAATTTACTAATAAAGCTTTTTTAGTTAATATAGTTACTGGCAATTTGATTTGTTAATTTTTATTGGTTTCTGTTTTATTTCTACTAACACCAATTATAATAATTTCTTTAAATTTTTATTTATATTTTTTTGGCAAAACCTAAACAAATACTTTAATTTCAAACAACCAGCAATGCATTCGATAAAACTAACACAACCAACAACTTGCAAATCTATGAAGATGAAGAAGATTATGATTTTTGAAGAAAACAATTATAGAAAATTGAATAAAATATTTAAACGAACATTATTTTCTTTTTATAAATATCTATTGTAATTGAATTTAAATGCAAATATTTAACAATTTAAATTGATTAATCATTATTAACAATATTTATAAATAATATACGAATAGTACATAATATTGTATGTATATAATATATAATCAATTGTTTCTTTTACATATATAAATATTTATTTAAACACATTCATATGAGAAGGGTTGTGATGGAATGAAGAAGACATAAAAACCAATAAATTTTGGCAGAAACTTCCACAGTTATTAAACGAGATGAGACGTGTCATTTAGGCATTATATAGGGAATGTGGAATGCAAAATTAATCTCTTATTTCTTCCGTTAACGAATCTACTGAGATTTCAATATGATCTCACTTTTATTTATCCAAAATTTGCCTTAAACGGTTTAAAATCTTATCTAACTAGAGAGAACTTTCCTACTTTGAGATTACTAATGTATGAGAAATAATCAGTATAGAATTAAGCTTGTACTACTAGTTCAAGGAAGAATCTTTCTTAGAAGTCTTTGAAATTAGAGATGTTATACATATATGTACATGAATCATCTGGCCCATTTATGATCTACCAAACATTTTAAAAAACATTTAACATGTTAGTTAATATCACTCTTTATTGTTAATAAGGTTTTAGTTCCAAGTTAGTCACATTCATTTTATAAGTACTTTCCTAAAGAGTTCGTTTTTCCAAAATGATCTCATTTGAATATTCCAAAAAATTCTTTAAATAAAGATCTAATGAAATCTAAACAGTTTTACAATATGCTAATGTTAAAATTTTAGTTTTTATGTCCCTCTTACAACACACCCTTCTTTATATGTCTAAATGTTTGATTATTTTGAAATGTTTTTAATTTTTACGTTCACTTTTTTTCTTTTTTGTGTTTTATCGTTTCTTTTCTTTTTTTTAAACAATAATGATCACTCACCCTCACAATTTCAAAACATCTGCACAATATCCCTTAAAAACATATAATCCTTAACTCATAAAACAATTCCTTGAAACACCCCACCCTCTAACACTACTATCATCACCACTCCCTGTAATTGTTTAAAAAATATCCTACACCATATTAAATTTATTAGGCTGCATGAGCAACAGGACGCTTAAACCTGCAAATATTGAGGTCCACCATCATATGAAAAGGCAAGCCGAGTTGTTTATCCAGAAAAGTTTTTTTATTTCCGTTTTTTAGTATTTATTATAAATGTTGTCAAAGAAAAGAGCAAAACTTAAATTTAAAACAAAAAAGAAACAAAACAAAATTATAAAGTAGAACAATCACTTGTTGTTATTATTACCAAATGATATTGAATAATCACAAAACAAACAAATATAAAAAAACAAGATTAATCATCTTATATTATATTATTAATATCCTAAATCCTTTACCCACCAATCTAACACAACTAACCGCAAAAATCCTCTCCATCATCAACCTTAACTACTCCTCCAACCTACCACTTGTAGCAACGAGACCGGTCTATCTTCGCCAATACGCAGTGGCTACTTAAAACGTAAAACCTATTTTAGTCACCAATAAAACTGAAAGTGAAAAAGCCAAACGATCCAAAGTCATCAAAAAAAAAAGATCCTGTTGACGGGAATATTACCATGTCACCATCAACAACCAACCACCACAATCATTTTGTTAGATGATTAAAAAGCAGTTATAACTTAATAGTTGTTATAACAATACAGAAATTCCAGTTCCATTAGTTAAAATAAAGCAGTTTAGAGAGACGTTAACTATTAGAGAGACGTTTGTTCCATTAATTGAAATATGCCTACTATACACATCAAAATAGCTGAGATATCATTGCAATTTATTCAATTACAAAATAAAACAAACATCAAAAACTATAATATACTCGTATTTAACCAGAATTAACTAAACTATAAAAAAAAACATCAACATTGCTAAAGCAAAAAAAAAAAACAAACTCAACACATCGTTCACATTAAAAAATGCAAAAATATAGCTGGAGAAATCATACATCATTCCAAATAAACAAAATGCGAAATAATTAATACTTTAATAATAATTGTTATTGTTCAATTAAAACTATAAGAACAATTAAGAAAATAAAGACATCGTCTAACATTGTCACGCAGTAAGTACAAAATTAAAAAAAATAAAGAAATTATTTATTATTTTATAGTTTATAATTTTAGAATAGAAATCGGTAAATTATTAATGAAAACATCTGTTGCATACTTTAAGGTGTTGAAACAGTGAAGATTAAAAATGATAAAACATTATGAGAACTTATAAAAACATTGTATTCGCTTAGGTAATAGTTAATAAAGGCTTTTCAAACTACTATGAGTAACTGATTTAATTATTATGTTTCTCTTTTATATAGACATGATTTCTATTTTAACATAAATATATTTAACATTTTTTGATCTTTACTATTGCACTGCAACCAAAAAAGTATGCAATATAAATATAATTTTCTTTACTTGAAAATAAAATTTCTATTTATTTGGATAAAAATATGTGCGTGAAAGAAAAAAATCCTTGATTTATTTGCAGAAAATGTATTGAAAGACTATTTTGCATTTGCATCTTATAGGTACCTGGCTAGAAAGACTGTTTCCTCCTGTTGTTTGATGGTATTACAAACTACATAAAAAAACTCAAACAGAAACCGAAACAAATACTAAGTAATCAGATTAAAAAAAAACAATACATGCTTACAAATCATAAGAGAATATAAATAATATTTAAAAAATATATATTTAAAACTAAATTCTAAAAACTATTTATTAAATTAAAAAAAAAAAAAAAAACTAAATAAAGATATTGAAAACAAGATAATCCCCTTTTTCTAGAACAGAAAGTAAAAAAAGTACTATAAATTGATGTTAGCCATAAAAAAAATTGTAAAATTATTAAATTATAAAAATTGTTCCAAAACTTTAGCAAATTATTAAATTTCTTGTTATGAAAACAAAAAAATAACTATTTTAATTAATTGTAGCTTAAAATATCATTGGCAAAAAATTATAAAAAAAAAACTATTTCTTATACTAAAACTTGCCCTTTAAAATGCTGTAATAATTTGTTAAAAATAACTTTAAAACCGTTCTGTAATTCTTTTTTTTAAAGGAAATAAATATTAAAATGTTAAATACGATTATCTAAAATTTACATGTGATATACAAAAACTTCAACATAGAATTATAAACAGTTAAATTTATAATTTTATTTTTGAAATTCGCAATTTCAATAAAAATTCTTTAAATTAAAACAGTGGTGATAATGAAAAGTTTAAATATGTTGTTAACAATTGAAAAATAATGGAAAATGTTTTACAAATCCCTCATATTTTTTTTATTTACTCCTTAAAAATTTCTAAAGTGTGATGGTTAGTAGAATTTTGAATTAATTCATGTTTAAATATTTGGTTTTGGTAATACATATTCATAATTTTTAATTCTTGGAGGGATTTTAGTTTAAATTTAACAAGAACAAGTAATTTTTTTCTTTTTTTATTTCTTTTTACCCCTGAACTTTTCCAAAGTTCAGTAATTTGTTGTGACGTGATTTTCACGTGCAGCAACTGTAATAAATTAAAAAATTATATTAATTATATATTGACATTAAATCATTAAAAATAAATATTCCATTATCATCCACTGTTTTAAAAATATATATATATATAAACTATTCTAATTTAGTTATAAAAAATCTTTAATTTATTAAATTAACAAAGTCAATCTGATTTACGTTAAGAAATTTGTTTTCTATTTCGATATTTAGAATGGTATAAAATAGTGATCATTGTATTTCAAACTCAATCATTAAAATCCCTAAATATTTACAAGAAATTAATATATAAAATTTAGTATCTATTATATATTTTTGACCCACCATATTACCTGAGAGAAAATGCATGGTAAAAATAGTACAACAAAGTCACAAAATAAAAAATAAATCTAATAAAAATATTTAAACTAAAGAAATCATATTTTTGGAAGAAATCATCAATTAAAACTGACAAAAAGAAAACTAACAGAAAATTTGCAATGAGAAATACTACTTGAAAACAATTTTAGACCGAAACTCACAAAAGATTTCATTTTAAAATAACCCAACAAAAAAGTATTTTTTTAATAAACTTTAAACTACAAACAAACAACAATATTTTTAAAATATTGTTTAAGAAAATAAATTTATAAAAATTTAAAACAAAATATACATATATTTTCATGATAATGATATTAAAACAAATGTAAATTAAACATTAAATTTAAATATAAGCTTAATTATTTATTATGGGCATTGTTGAAAAGAAAAAAAAAATAATAACAAATTAAGAAAATTTAATACAAATGCAAATAAATTATTGAAGACAAAATATTGAAGACAAAATATTGAAATGAAAATAAAATTTTATGAGAGATTTGTTTAAAAAGCACTGTACTCTCAGCATACAACAAAAAAAAATAATCCAGTTAAAAGCTGGCATTTAAAATATTTACAAAAGAACTAAAAGAATGTTATTTAGCAAAAATATATTATAAAACAATAATACTAATTTAGTTTTCTTTATAATTTTCTTAAATGAAAGAAACAAATACAGACATTTTTTGATGTAATTATTAAAAAAAAAAAAAAACATTCTTTATGTGTCAGAAAAATTATATTAATATAATTATTGCGATTATTAAAACAACAATTAAGCTAAAAAAATAAATGTGCATTTATGCAAAAATTTAATTAGGAAATAAATTGATTTTATAAGAAACTTGGAAAACAAAGTAAGTAGACAATTTTCAATAATTCTATTTAACATTTTTAATTATAACTTTATAGATTTTAACAAAGTTATATTAACAAAGTTAATATAATTGTTAAAAAATATTTTCTATCTGCATCATTTATTGATTTCGTGATTGGAAAAGTGTTTATTATACTATTAGTATGATTTTTCTAAAAATAATATTATCAATTTTAACATCTTCAACAAAAATAAGAATTTAATTGAAAAGGCAACCTAAACTGACAAATGTTGGAATTTTTATACAATTACTAGCTGCACACGTTCCTAAATTTTACTTATAGTTTTATAGTTGCGAACAAACATAAAATTTCACAGGAAAACTTCTCACTAGTCCTGAATTATATATTTGAAAATTTATCCCTGTGTTTATCGATTAAGTATTATAAACATAGGAGTACATATGTATTACAAGTAGTATATACACCCATATTTATGTTAATACTTAAATATCTTCAATACAACTGCTATAGAAGATTACATTATATTACAAACTGCAACTAATTAGCGACATTTAATTTATTCACAAATGCAATAATAAAATTCATCGATAATTAAATATGTAACAAACTATTTTCTATGGCTGCAAACAATTCTATTAGATTTCAATTTCAATATTGAATTCTAACATTTCGTCAGCACAACTAAAAACACAACCATCTCTCATTCACTGATACAACACTAAGTGAGAGCTTGTTTTAATTTTTATTCTATTCAAAGTTTTGGCAATATTGTTTAGGAAAGAGCCGGTAAAAAAAAACAAAAAAAAAAAACAAAGGCTCAAATATTTTGTAAGAAAAAAAAGCAACAATATTGTAAGAATGTGTAAGCAAAACGTAGTAGAAATACAATTGTTAAAATACTACACATTGCTTCATAACAAAATATGTATCATTCTTGCGCAGATATACTATGACCAAAAGTGAGGAGATTACATTTAAAGAGAGTGAATGTTTTGCAGCTGGGACTTAAAATAGTTGGTAAAAACATCTGTCCCTCGTTGTACCACACAAAGAAGATCATATAGAAAAATATATTTTGAATTGAAGAACTTTTTTCTCCAACATATTGGATTAACATGAAAGCTTTGATGTTTTATTCATTGTTACATTAGTAATAGAAGCTTTGACACTTGTTAAGCTTTAAAAATAATGCGAGGTCTCATTTCATAGAATTCGTGATATCAACATAATTTGTCTTTCGAGTCGATTTCTTGATATATTTCGGTGGACTTGCTCGCTACATAATGTTCTATGACCAATGCGTGTTGGACGTTCCAAAATGTGACTTTAAATTTTCAAAGGAATTGACTTGAAACTTATTTTATAATGACATCAAATACATTTACCATATTTATGACTTTCGAAATGGCTTTTAGAACAATGGACCTCAGGCTGGTAATGTTATTAAGGAATCATGTCCTTTTTAGCATATAGTTCCCTCAAAAGAGAGCGAGCGAGCGCGGGAGCGAGCGAGGAGCGAGCGAGCGAGCGAGAGAGCGAGCGAGGCGAGCGAGCGAGCGAGAGGAGCGAGCGAGCGAGAGCGAGAGCGAGCGAGCGAGCGAGCGAGGGAGCGAGCGAGCGAGCGAGCGAGCGAGGAGCGAGCGAGCGAGCGAGCGAGCGAGCGAGCGAGCGAGCGAGCGAGCGAGCGAGCGAGCGAGCGAGCGAGCGAGCGAGCGAGCAGAGAGCGAGCGAGCGAGCGAGCGAGCGAGCGAGCGAGCGAGCGAGCGAGGAGCGAGCGAGGAGCGAGAGCGAGCGAGCGAGCGAGAGCAGCGAGCGAGGAGAGAGCGAGCGAGCGAGCGAGAGAGCGAGCGACGGAGCGAGAGAGCGAGAGCGAGCGAGAGAGCGAGCGAGAGAGACGAGCGAGCGAGCGAGCGAGCGAGCGAGCGGAGCGAGCGAGCGAGCGAGCGAGCGAGCGAGCGAGCGAGCGAGCGAGCGAGCGAGCGAGCGAGCGAGCGAGGAGCGAGGAGCCGAGCAGCGAGCGATCGAGCGAGCGAGCGAGCGAGCGAGCGGAGCGAGGAGCGAGCGAGTAGCGAGCTACCTAGCGAGCGACGAGCAGCGAGCGACGAGTGAGCGTAGCGAGCGAGCGAGCGAGCGAGCGAGCGAGCGAGCGAGCGAGCTAGGAGCGAGCGAGCGAGCTATCTATCTATCTATTATCTATCTATCTATCTATCTATCTTATCATCTATCTATCTATCTATCTATCTATCTATCTATATATATATAATATCTATCTATCTAGCGACTATCTATCTATCTATCTATCTATCTATCATCTAATTATCCTATCTATCTATCTATCTATCTATCTATCTATATATCTATCTTAATCTATCTACCTATCAGTCTATTATCATCTATAGATATATTATTTGTCTATTACTTCTTTCCACACAATTCCCTTCAGCCGTTTTACTAGTCCAGATGTTTACTAAAACAATTTATACATTTGAAAGAACATATGGGTGGATTGTTGCTCTAGTCATGGACACAGACGGTCTATACTTTCGCTTTACTACAACTGAGAATTCAGTTTCATTCCTAAAGTGCTTCCGTTAAGACGCAAATTTCAAAATTGTATGAAAATTAATAAAAATTGGGTGTGCGTAAAATATTTCGGCTGCCAAAAACAAGTGCAAAAAGAAAATAAATTAGAAAAAATATCTAATATATATATAAATAAATATACACAAAAAAAGTTTAAGCAAATTTTTGGCTATAATTTTTTGAAGTTAATTAAGGGAGAACAATTTAAACTACGTTAATGAAAATAACAATTGTTTAAATAATTAAAATAAAATCAAGTTAAATTAAAACTAAAAGTTACTCTAACTTTTCTTATAAAAGATAAAAAAGCGTGTTTGAAATTTTAATATTAGATAAAAAAGTTTGTACCTATCTATCTATCTATCTATCTATCTATCTATCTATCTATCTATCTATCTATCTATCTATCTATCTATCTATCTATCTATCTATCTATCTATCTATCTATCTATCTATCTATCTATCTATCTATCTATCTATCTATCTATCTATCTATCTATCTATCTATCTATATATATCTATCTATCTATCTATCTATCTATCTATCTATCTATCTATCTATCTATCTATCTACCTATCAGTCTATTTATCATCTATAGATATATTCTATTTGTCTATTACTTCTTTCCACACAATTCCCTTCAGCCGTTTTACTAGTGTCCAGTGTACTAAAACATTTAACATTTGAAAGAACATATGGTGGTTGTGCTCTAGTCATGGACACAGACGGTCTATACTTTCGCTTTACTACAACTGAGAATTCAGTTTCATTCCTAAAGTGCTTCCGTTAAGACGCAAATTTCAAAATTGTATGAAAATTAATAAAAATTGGGTGTGCGTAAAATATTTCGGCTGCCAAAAACAAGTGCAAAAAGAAAATAAATTAGAAAAAATATCTAATATATATATAAATAAATATACACAAAAAAAGTTTAAGCAAATTTTTGGCTATAATTTTTTGAAGTTAATTAAGGGAGAACAATTTAAACTACGTTAATGAAAATAACAATTGTTTAAATAATTAAAATAAAATCAAGTTAAATTAAAACTAAAAGTTACTCTAACTTTTCTTATAAAAGATAAAAAAGCGTGTTTGAAATTTTAATATTAGATAAAAAAGTTTGTACGAACACATTAAATAAATACATGTGTTTTGAAAAATAAATAAAATTAAACATAAAAAAATAAAAATAAACCGCAAAGTGGAATAAAAAGAAAGTAAAACAACAGCAAAATTGTGTGTTCTTTTAAATAAACAAATTTGTGGAATCTTTTATTTAGTGATAAAATTATTAAAAAGTAAGTAGGATAAATCGTCTAGAAAAATATTGATTTTCGTAGGAGTGTTTTGTTATGTATTCAAAATTTTTGTTTACTGCAGTAAGGGGCTGATAATTCCTCTTAATTAGTAAGGGTCAGTTTTATTTTTTGCATTGACAGGTTATCAGTGAAATAAAAAAAAATCTATTTACACTGGAATTTTACACTAATGAGGCTTTTCAACAGAAATTGCTACTAATTGTGTGTAAATGTGAACACACTTTATTCGATTTTACTTTCAAAAAGTAATTAAACATTAAGTGAAATAATTTGTTAATGTGTCATCATTTTGAGTAAAGAGATTGTTATAGTACTACACTACCAAATTAATAGACAAGTATGGAATGACTTTGCCATACTGCTATAACAGAAATTAGTTGCAATCAGAACATTTTAATTTAAGAACCGAAGCACTACATCACTGCGACTGAACGTCTTAATAATAAATAAAGCTTTTGAAGAATAAATGTTTTTTGATTAGGGATAATTCGAGGTGCGATCTTTTCTTTGTTTTTCTAAAATGATATCCTCTTGAAAAAAGTAATAATCATAAAGTTAGTCACATTCCTTTCATATAAAACGCCAATAATTCATTCATGCTAAATTAAGAAAGAAAAAATCTCTTATCAAATCGTGGGCAAATACCTACACACCTACCTACCTTGGTCAAATTATATATAATTCAAACAAAATATTCGCCAGACAATAGAAAAATACTAACATATTATGATTAGCAAACATACGTAAATTTTACTTCTTCATTTTTCATTATCATCAAAAAAAATTGTGTATACAAATTTGTAATTAAACAAGTAGTAAAGCATAGTCGGGCATGGTCGATCATAGGATGGTACCCTAATCCGATTACGAGTATATTTTAACTTTAAGTTTTTATAATAATATATCGGTGTTGAGTTTCACCTTAATTCCGATAATTGTTAATAGTCTAGTCTATAGTTTATTCTTCTAGTCTATTATCTAGTCTATAGTCTAGTCTAAAGTCTAGTCTATAGTCTGTCTATAGTCTTCCTATAGTCTAGTCTATAGTCTAGTCTATAGTCTAGTCTATAGTCTAGTCTATAGTCTAGTCTATAGTCTAGTCTATAGTCTAGTCTATAGTCTAGTCTATAGTCTAGTCTATAGTCTAGTCTAGTCTAGTCTAGTCTATAGTCTAGTCTATAGTCTAGTCTATAGTCTAGTCTATAGTCTAGTCTATAGTCCAGTCTATAGTCTAGTCTATAGTCTAGTCTATTGTCTAGTCTATTGTCTAGTCTATAGTCTAGTCTATAGTCTAGTCTATAGTCTAGTCTATAGTCTAGTCTATAGTCTAGTCTATAGTCTAGTCTATAGTCTAGTCTATAGTCTAGTCTATAGTCTAGTCTATAGTCTAGTCTATAGTCTAGTCTATAGTCTAGTCTATAGTCTAGGCTATAGTCTAGTCTATAGTCTAGTCTATAGTCTAGTCTATAGTCTAGTCTATAGTCTAGTCTATAGTCTAGTCTATAGTCTAGTCTATAGTCTAGTCTATAGTCTAGTCTATAGTCTAGTCTATAGTCTAGTCTATAGTCTAGTCTATAGTCTAGTCTATAGTCTAGTCTATAGTCTAGTCTATAGTCTAGTCTATAGTCTAGTCTATAGTCTAGTCTATAGTCTAGTCTATAGTCTAGTCTATAGTCTAGTCTATAGTCTAGTCTATAGTCTAGTCTATAGTCTAGTCTATAGTCCTAGTCTATAGTCTAGTCTATAGTCTAGTCTATAGTCTAGTCTATAGTCTAGTCTATAGTCTAGTCTATAGTCTAGTCTATAGTCTAGTCTATAGTCTTAGTCTATAGTCTAGTCTATAGTCTAGTCTATAGTCTAGTCTATAGTCTAGTCTATAGTCTAGTCTATAGTCTAGTCTATAGTCTAGTCTATAGTCTAGTCTATAGTCTAGTCTATAGTCTAGTCTATAGTCTAGTCTATAGTCTAGTCTAGTCTAGTCTAGCTAGTCTATAGTCTAGTCTATAGTCTAGTCTATAGTCTAGTCTATAGTCTAGTCTATAGTCTAGTCTATAGTCTAGTCTATAGTCTAGTCTATAGTCTAGTCTATAGTCTAGTCTAGTCCAGTCTAGTATATAGTCTAGTCTATAGTCTAGTCTATAGTCTAGTCTATAGTCTAGTCTATAGTCTAGTCTATAGTCTAGTCTATAGTCTAGTCTATAGTCTAGTCTATAGTCTAGTCTATAGTCTAGTCTATAGTCTAGTCTATAGTCTAGTCTATAGTCTAGTCTATAGTCTAGTCTATAGTCTAGTCTATAGTCTAGTCTATAGTCTAGTCTATAGTCTAGTCTATAGTCTAGTCTATAGTCTAGTCTATAGTCTAGTCTATAGTCTAGTCTATAGTCTAGTCTATAGTCTAGTCTATAGTCTAGTCTATAGTCTAGTCTATAGTCTAGTCTATAGTCTAGTCTATAGTCTAGTCTATAGTCTAGTCTATAGTCTAGTCTATAGTCTAGTCTATAGTCTAGTCTATAGTCTAGTCTATAGTCTAGTCTATAGTCTAGTCTATAGTCTAGTCTATAGTCTAGTCTATAGTCTAGTCTATAGTCTAGTCTATAGTCTAGTCTATAGTCTAGTCTATAGTCTAGTCTATAGTCTAGTCTATAGTCTAGTCTATAGTCTAGTCTATAGTCTAGTCTATAGTCTAGTCTATAGTCTAGTCTATAGTCTAGTCTATAGTCTAGTCTATAGTCTAGTCTATAGTCTAGTCTATAGTCTAGTCTATAGTCTAGTCTATAGTCTAGTCTATAGTCTAGTCTATAGTCTAGTCTATAGTCTAGTCTATAGTCTAGTCTATAGTCTAGTCTATAGTCTAGTCTATAGTCTAGTCTATAGTCTAGTCTATAGTCTAGTCTATAGTCTAGTCTATAGTCTAGTCTATAGTCTAGTCTATAGTCTAGTCTATAGTCTAGTCTATAGTCTAGTCTATAGTCTAGTCTATAGTCTAGTCTATAGTCTAGTCTATAGTCTAGTCTATAGTCTAGTCTATAGTCTAGTCTATAGTCTAGTCTATAGTCTAGTCTATAGTCTAGTCTATAGTCTAGTCTATAGTCTAGTCTATAGTCTAGTATAGTCTAGTCTATAGTCTAGTCTATAGTCTAGTCTATAGTCTAGTCTATAGTCTAGTCTATAGTCTAGTCTATAGTCTAGTCTATAGTCTAGTCTATAGTCTAGTCTATAGTCTAGTCTATAGTCTAGTCTATAGTCTAGTCTATAGTCTAGTCTATAGTCTAGTCTATAGTCTAGTCTATAGTCTAGTCTACAGTCCAGTCTACAGTCTAGTCTACAGTCTAGTCTATAGTCTAGTCTATAGTCTAGTCTATAGTCTAGTCTATAGTCTAGTCTATAGTCTAGTCTATAGTCTAGTCTATAGTCTAGTCTATAGTCTAGTCTCTAGTCTAGTCTATAGTCTAGTCTATAGTCTAGTCTATAGTCTAGTCTATAGTCTAGTCTATAGTCTAGTCTATAGTCTAGTCTATAGTCTAGTCTATAGTCTAGTCTATAGTCTAGTCTATAGTCTAGTCTATAGTCTAGTCTATAGTCTAGTCTATAGTCTAGTCTATAGTCTAGTCTATAGTCTAGTCTATAGTCTAGTCTATAGTCTAGTCTATAGTCTAGTCTATAGTCTAGTCTATAGTCTAGTCTATAGTCTAGTCTATAGTCTAGTCTATAGTCTAGTCTATAGTCTAGTCTATAGTCTAGTCTATAGTCTAGTCTATAGTCTAGTCTACAGTCCAGTCTACAGTCTAGTCTATAGTCTAGTATATAGTCCAATCTATCGACAAGTCTATAGTCTAGTCCAGTTTATAGTATAGTCTGGTCTTTACCAAGACTAAGTTTTCTAGCTGCTTTTGACGGAAAATGGTGAACAAAAATTGGCAACACTGATTAAATCTTATGAGAAATAAAACAGACAGGGTCCAGGTTTAATAAAATTAAATTTGTGTAACAAATTAAAAAAAAAATAAACTAATAATTTTGTATCTTGCAAATAGTACCGGATGCAGTAGCAAAATGCAGTATTACAGAAATATCGGCACACAATGGCAAGGATTCTTACAACATATGTTGCACTAATTTAGGAGTTATGTTAAATAAAGGATATTATTTAGATTATATATAGCATATATCATTATAAAAGATAACACCAATTTTTTATGACTATTAAATGATATTGATCTACTTTATTTTTCATGTACTCAAATTACTCACATGATATTTATGCAAAAAAACAGCTAAAGCATTGTTTTCATTCTATAGTTGGTGGTAAATATTGTTTAAATATTTTTAGCACTTAAAAATTATTTGTCTATTTATTGTTTAATAAATAATAATAATAATAATAAGTTTTCACTTTTGGAAATATAAATAAAATACACAAACGTACAACACACACATTTATAAATCAATTAGCGTATTAGTACTTCTTTAAAAGTTAATGCAATTTTTGAATTGAACTTTTTTTAAACAGTTTAAAAAAATTATTTATGTAGTTTAATATTTAATAAAGAACACTTTTCACGGTCAAATGAGTAATATTTATATAATAAATTTAACTTTAAGTTAAGGCAATAAGTTTAGAAAACAATACCAAGTTTCCTATTTCCTTGTTATTATTAAAAAATATTTAACATAAATTTAGAGGACTAAGGCGCTGTTTTGCCTCAGGGATTTTAAACCTTTTGATAGCAGAGCTTAAATGACAAAAAGTACACTTATAGAGTTTAAAGTATTGAGAACCCTGTCCAAATCACTAGAAATTCCAGTGTGTTACCTAAATGAGCCTAAAATGCATAAATAGAATACCTTACAATACAGACCTTTTAAATAGAACGATTTAAACAACTCACATCCTGTGAACAAAAGTGACACGTACTTGTAATTACTATATTAATGATATAAATTTCAAATCTAATTTTACTAATTCAATAATATTTTTATCAATTAATTTGTGAATATACAACTATAATTATTGTCGAATTAAACACTACAGTTAAATAGAATTTTACTAGTACCCGATGTTTTGAAAATAATCAATTTCAATTCTTATTGAAAGTTGAAAAGTACTACTAGCAAAAGGAATTTTATCAAAAACCGAATAAAAATTTAATTTGGAACCTTGTGTTTTCTTGATATTAAGCTTTCATATACCTACATATAATGAGTAATAGAAAATGTCAAAAAAATATTAATTTTTTAATTTTTAATAATATTTCAAAATAAATTTTTCATGTAAATAAATTTAAATGAATTATTTAAAAAAAATTTACTAAATAAAAGGAACATTTTTCCAAATTTACAAATGTATGTGCAAAATTCTAATAAAGTTTTCAAAAACATTCAGAGTAACGTTCAGTTTTTATCCATTTTATTTTTCCAAAATTAATTGGTTTTTATTTTAGTGTAAATACACTATTATAATATTTTTGAAAAGCCTTAGGACAACACGAGCAGTACTAATTGCAAATTAACTATCATATAATTTTCAGATGTCTTGTCAAAACGGTCACAGTGAACCCATAAATATTCAAACGAATGGTAATGGTAGCGCACACACGAATATAGATGAAACCGATGATAGGGGACTTTCTATGAATGTGAGATTAACAACAACCTCCTCTATAGACCACCCACCAGTACCACCATCACCCACAAAAAGTTCTTCTCTTAAACGTAATACAAGTCAGGGAAATCTAATGCCGGCCGAAACTAAAGAGACCAGAGTTAAGGTTATTTATACGGGAGGCACCATAGGAATGGTGAGAAATGAAAGAAATGGTAAGTAAAGCCTCTAGGAAAGCTATTAAGAAACAAGACTTTAATCACCATACCTTAACAGTTTTAGCCCCTATACCCAATGCTTTGGTAAAACGTATACGCAAATATCCCAATATGCATGATGAGGAATATGCTCAGAAAAGATTTGGTCAGTCGGCCTCTATGGCCCCATTGGTTTTACCCTATGTGCAGGGTGAAAGTAATCGTGTTATTTATCAAATAACAGAATATAAACCTCTGTTGGATTCTAGCAATATGACCATGTACGATTGGGCTAGAATAGCCAATGATATTTATGTAAGTAAAATTTCTTAGGCAAAGAAAAACACATTTCATTGTATATCTTCTTCTTTTTAGCAATCCTATGAATTCTTTGATGGCTTTGTGGTTTTACATGGCACCGATACCTTATCCTATACTGCTTCAGCCTTATCATTTATGTTAGAGAATCTCGGCAAAACTGTGATAATAACCGGTTCTCAAATACCCATTTTTGAGACACGCACCGATGGCAAAGATAACTTTACCTCGGCTTTAATAATTGCTGGCAATTATGTTATACCCGAGGTTTGTGTTTTCTTTGGCAATAAACTAATGCGCGGCAATCGTACTGTGAAAGTAAGCTCCTGTTCTTTGGATGCTTTCGATTCGCCAAATGTTCCTCCTTTAGCTCGTATTGGCATTAATGTGGATGTTGATTATAGATTAATCTTTAGACCCTGTAAGATTTCGAAATTTTTTGTACACTCTGAATTGGATGAAAATGTGGGCATTTTGCGCATATTTCCCAGTATTTCTACCTCAACCTTTAGAGCATTTTTGGCACCACCCATGAAGGGTGTTGTTTTGCAGTCATTTGGTTCTGGCAATGTACCAGATAATCGTAAAGATTTGCTTAAGGAATTAAAGGAGGCCTCCGAAAGGGGAGTGATTATAGTAAATTGTACGCAGTGTCCTACTGGTTCGGTGTCGGAAATCTATGAGACAGGAAAAGTATTATTTGATCTGGGTGTTTTGCCCGGCTTTGATATGACCCCCGAGGCGGCCTTGACTAAGTTGTCTTATGTATTGGGTAAAAGTGAATGGCCTTTGGATATAAAGAAACAGGTGAGAGCTTAAAACAATTGTGTACAATTGTATTTTTTAAACTTTTGTTCACACACTTTTTACAGATGATACAATCAAATCTAAGAGGAGAACTGACTTCTACTTCAGGACCCAAAATGGAAGAATACGATCTAGTGGATGCTGTGGCCAGATCTTTGCATTTATCTTCACCCCAAGAACTTAGCCAGCTGGGCGCTACTCTATTTCCTGCTATGATGAACGCCGCTGTTGTAGCCGGAGACTTACAAAAGGTTTGACAATAACATGTTTTTTTAATACACAAATAAAAACAATTTTCCTCATTTCCCCTTGTCTTTTAGATCAATAACCTAAAAGCTTATGGCGCTGATCTATCGGGTGTGAATCAAGATCATCGCACTGCCTTACATTTGGCCTGTATCGAAGGCAACATTTCAGTGGTTAAACATCTGCTATTAAATGGTGTCTCCGTGCACATAAGAGATCGCTATGAACGCACCCCTCTAATAGAGGCGATTACTAATGATAATCATGATATTATACAAATGCTTATAAATTGTGGTGCTCATTTAACTGGTTCCTCTAGAGCAGTGGGTGAACAACTATGTGCCGCTGCAGCCAGAGGTTCTCTAACTCGCCTCAAGTCTTATCAATTGGCCGGAGCCGACCTATCACAACCAGACCCTTCCGGCCGTACAGCACTACATGTGGCTGCCTTGCATGGCCATGAAGAAATTGTGCAATATTTACTTCAATATATGGATACAATTAATGAAACAGATATGTTAGGACTCACCGCTTTAGATTATGCTCTGAAGGCTGATCAGCAAGATGTCGCTGTGATACTGAATAAATTTGCTACACAATGAGTTGTAAAATTTGCAGGACAAACAAAAACACACAACAACACTATTAATTAAATACTTTTGCACACACGCATATATTATATAAACAAAACACAAACATTTAAATTAATTAAATTTAAAGATATAATAGGTATAAAATATATTTTATTGTAGACAAGAACTTTTTCCTGTTGTCACTTTCCTTTGCTATAGAAAAAACTACTATTGATAACCAAAGTAAATTAATAAAGTAGCGACAGTTCTACAACAAATACAACATTTACAAAAACCACAAACGATTTTGTTTTTGGTTTAAGGTCTTTGCTGTCAAAATCATATGATCTTTGTTTACAAAAATTTTCTTTGATAACAACACAAAAAAATAATATTTTAGTAAAAGACATTTTATTAGTTTAGTTTAAGAATAAATAAAAATGCAAATAAATAAAAAATGTGTCAGCAATTTATTTAAGTTTGACATACATTTAATAGAAATATAGTATTTTTTCTCCAAGAAATATGGAAACTACTTCTGGACTTATTCACTTATTCTCGGCTGGTCGTTTTGGCTTATTGTAAACAATCCAGGTGGAGGGTACATCCCGTGCATTTGATCATATTTTCAGGCCAGCTGCTACACCATTATGAAATGTTGGCCATAAACTCATATTGGCCTGGAATTCAATTTGCTGCATTTCAACAGTGGTTCCTTTAATAGGTTTCTTGCTGGTTAGACATAGTTTTGGTATTGGCATTGATTCCGTTGGTTCTTAAAGTAAACATACCTCCTCTACCCAAAGGTAAAGTCATGGTACGAGTGCACAATGTAAATAATTGTTTTTCTTGCTCCTCAATAAATTCATGATCAGAAGTTCCAGGCGATTGTGTAATATCTATCTGTTATGCGCATATCATCCGGATAACGTAGACTTAAGAATTTGGTACCTATATTATCCATGCCATCATCTAAAGCACCTTCCATTTGTGATATGCCACTTTTAGAGGGTGGACAACGAGCCGATAAGGAGTCTTCCGTGACTATGTTCATATTTTGCGAATAATTTGAACTTTTATTTAGGGCATAATTTCGTAAATCCCTACGCCTCACTTCACCTATCAATTTTTAAATTTGTATTTTGTAAAACACTTCATTATGGCAGGTGATTGTTTGTGAAAAATGTATAAAAAATTATATTTTATAAAACGCATCACCTGAAAAATACACACTTGAAACTTCAAATCGAACACCTAATTTATTCAGGCGTTCGCTTTGAAATTTTATTGAATAAATTATGTACATGTAACAGCTATCTTTATGGAAAAGTTGTGATATTGAAGCTACTCGACCTCGTACGGGAAAGGACGCAAATTGGTATATATTTCTATTGATACTACAATGAAACTCATTCTCTGAAATTAGAGCACTTATATCCATATATGAATTTTATCCAGATTTTGTAGCTGAATGGCGATTGGATAACATTACACAATCTTCATATACATACATAGCTAAAGTCACTCCATTGTAATATCGATAGAACTCGGTGACGGTGCTCCAATGTATCAATAAAGTTGGAATACAGATTTCACCTAATACGCGATCGAGTAGCTCCGTATGATAAAGTGTTCACTTTTGAATGTGAAGTGTAGGTGATGCGTTCAACGCAAAGGATTTACGAAATAACCCCCTTAGTGTAGCAAAAGTACAATTATTATTATTACCTTCCACATAATTATACGGCAATGCATTCAGTTGGTTAAAAACACTAGGAGCTTGCACCTGTGAAAGTTCCTTGTAAGACATTTGAGAACCATGCTGTTCGGTTAAAATACAAGTCTTGGAACAATTTTTCACCAGCAAAGGAAAATCCATAGCATGACGAAAAGTATAAGATTGTAATTGCATTACGTAGGCCAATTGATGCAGAAACTAATTAAGGAAAATAAAACCAAATATTTTATAATATTCATTTGAAATTAAATTGCTGGCTAACTTTGCTTGGCTCACCTTGGCTAATGGCAACAAATGTGCATGCATAATATCGTCCAATTTAAAGTCCTCATAGAGTAAATGAAAACTATAAAATATCGCCAGCATTGTATGAATAAACAAGCCGTAGTATCAATATTGTACATTGTGAATAATTTTCTTTTGATGGTTTATTATCCGATCCATCTAGAATGGACAACATAAATTGTCAATCTTCTTCGGTACCCGAATGTATTTCATCATTTTTTTTTATTTTCTTTGGATCTTCAGCACTAAACGATGTAGCAGTGTTACTGCTATAATCATGCATAACAGCTGAAAATCCCATAAGATGTTTTGTTCTGAAGGCAAGAGACTTAAACAAATGCTTAAGATTTTCCCCGAACTATAAACTAAAGTAAGACGATTAACGGCAGGATCACGTAGACCCAAACAAAAGTTGTTTCTGAAAGTAGAATATTTCAGATTAAATTCTTAAAGTTATCTTAATATAGAAAATCTTTTTCTACTTACCTATTGGAAAACTGTGGCTGCAGAGGGTGTACTGGTGATAACAAATGAAACTCATCTTCGAATGTAGTGTCTCCCGGTTTTGTTTGATGGAGAGAAATGGTCCATACACACATAAGCAGGTGCCGGGAGTTGCATCTTGCAAGCCTCCATCCACTTTCGTCGCCTCCTCTCATCTGTGGGGACAATAAAAAAGCTCCCATTTCCTTTTTTGGAAATTTTCTTGCAAATTATACACCTTTTCATAATTTTTTAGTACATAAACCACACAAAATTCAAGTTTTTTCACTTTTATTTTTATTTTTTATAAAACAACACACAATTTAATTTTTTTCCACTAAAACAAATATGGCAAATAATTTGACATAAAAGTCTTTGGTTGAAGCTGTCAAAAATTGCAACGTAAACAATTTTGACATTTTCGTCCATAAGTGAGTTTTAAAAAAAATAGTCAGCTGTTCTACTGAGTCTACTTTATAAATTTACTTTGTTGATAACGGTAACTAAGTACAGAGTTGCATTTCTCTGAGATGGTAAAATGTTGTAATCGAAATGGAGCAGGAAAAAATCGGTTAAGTGTGTTATTTAAGGCCCAAATAGACTACACAAGCGGCTTGACAAACATACCAATATTTTACGTTTGTGCAAGCCTGTTGTGTAGTGTATGAGAGTGTTTCGTGTTTGTACAAATGCTTGCTGTTTGTTTGTATAAAAATTTAAAAAATTTGATTTTTACACAAACATATTGAATTTTTTTCAAACCGTTTGTATATTTTATATTTATTAATAACAAATTTTTCACAAAATTTACTTTTCTAAGAAAAATTGTCATCTGTATTTTTGCAAGTCCACAAAAACGTGAAAAAATCGGTGTTTGTACGAGCAATGTTTGTGTAGTGTATGTGCGAGTGAAAAAAATATGTTTGATAAGCCGCTTGTATAGTTTATTTGGGCCTTTAGTTTTGAATAAGTATTTAAATTTAAATTATTTCATGTTAATGGTTAATAAATAAAATTTATTAATGTTTAAACAAAAATTTTTTATGCAAATTATGTAGAAAATGTTAAAAGGAGGTAAGTAATAAGCTGAGAAATCAAAAAAATATATAAATAGTTTTATGCTCATTAAATTAGCAGTAAAAAACGAATAAATGCTGTTAAAATTTTTAAAATGTGCTCTAAAAATAAAAGTTTTAATTATATTTTGAATGTGAAAAGTTTATATGTCGAAAATTAAGCTCTGATTATTTTTAATTATTTATATTTTATGTCATATTATCCTACAATTATGTTTTTGATAATGTTCCTCTCGTAGTTTGAAGAAATTGTTTAATTTTACGTTCCCAAAATATGACTTTTTTCGACTTTTTCCGACTTTTCGATTTTATTCGACTTTTTGACTATTTTCGACTATTTTTTGACTTTTTTCGGGGCTTTCCGACCATTTTAGAGTTTTTGATTTTTTTCCACTTTTTTAAAATTTTCGACTATTTTTGACTTTTTTCTACAATTTTGGAGTTTTCGACTTTTTCCGACTTTTCGACTTTTTTTTGACATTTTTCGGGGTTTTCCGATCATTTTAGAGTTTTTGACTTTTTTCCACTTTTTTAAAATTTTCGACTATTTTTGACTTTTTTCTACAATTTTGGAGTTTTCGACTTTTCGACTTTTTCCGACTTTTCGACTTTTTTCGACTTTCTTCGACTTTTTTCGACTTTTTTCGACTTTATTCGACTTTTTTCGACTTTTATTAACAAAGTCGACTTTTCGACTTTCTTCACAGACGATAGTCGAGTTATCGACTTTTTTAAAACAACTTTTCGACTTTTTTCGACAAAAAGTCGATTGTTCGATTATTCCAAAGTCGATTTATAGAACCCTATGATTGAGTCATAATCATTTATTGAACACATCTTTGAATTTATTGAACACATCTTTGAATTATCAAAAATTATAGGTATTTCCAAAAAACTATAAAAAAAATTAAAATTCTCTCTTGGTTACGGATGATTTTGTTGATTTTTGATACAAAACTTCTAAAAAGTATTTCTTATAGAATTATTCTATACATCTGGGGTCTTCAGAATTTAAAAAAGCCTAAAAGAGAATTAGGTCTAAGTACCGATAAGACGTTATTAAACAAAAAAATAAGGAAGGTAAATAGATTATTAGATGTAAATCGAAAAAGGCACTTTGAAAATATTTCAAAGATCATAAAGTCGACTTTTTCCCTTATAGAACGCTACATTGTAAACACTGCTTATCTACTACTAAATTTTTACAACCCAGTAATTTGCTGACATGGACTAATTTGTGTGTTTTTTCTTAAATAAATTTTGTTCTATAAAAATTTATGGTAAATTACAATAAAAAATTGTTATAAATTAATAAAAACAGAAGAAAAATAAACTTTTTCATCTATGCTATCAGGAAAATATAAAGTTCTTGTTAAATTTTGTGTTATACCAAGCAAAAACATGAATTGAAAAAGTGAAAAGCGAACACGTCAGATATACATATGTTTTTTTCCGTGGCATTGAGTTTTCTTGTTTTAATTGATGTGATCATAGTTGTAAAAATATAAAAGAAAAGATTTGGTTCCGTATATTGAATATTTAATCTGTTTTAGGTGATAATTTGCATTTTGTATTAATAACGTTTTTGGGTGTTTGTTCTTTTTTTTCAATTCTAGTACAAGTACCAATGTTCAGACTCAGCAGCCAACGAAATCTTCAACTTTACGAGTTTATTGAAAACAATAGAAAAATAGTAACAATAACAAGAGATAAAAACATTTAACATTGATTATTTTTATTAATTGTAAATGTTTGTTTAGCACATTTTAAGGAATTTAGTTTTTTTTTTATTTTTCGTGAGTGTTTGCAAGATCAGACCTAAAGTAGTTTTAGTTAACGATATAATAAACAAAATACATTAGTTTACCATGTCGTCCGATACGAACGAACAGCAACAACAATTACAGGAAAGTTTCCTACAACAACAGGTAAGTGAAAGTGAATTTAAGAAACATTTTCTATATTGGCATAAGTTTGAAGTGATTTGATAGCCAAATTTTGCTTCCCTTTGGAACATTTAAACATTCCTTTTATGACAATAAGTTCTATGTATCTGCTTTTCCCGAATCCACTTATACTTATGTCAATAATATTCTATAAACCGTTTGCATTATTAATTTCCTTCCTTTTTAGGAAAAAATATCCGCCCTTAAGGAACTAGTACGTAAATCGGGAGCTGCCCATGGTTCAAGTAAATCAGCCGCCCAAGAAAAAGTAAAAAATATAGCGGAAAGACTGCTGAAATCAAAAGCAAAAAGTAAACAAGGTTTAAATGTTTCCACCTACACGACGACAGAAACACCCTCAGCCGAGCTATCTTTTGTGGCTCAGGATCAGGCAAATATGTTGTCAATTTCACAGGGACAATTTCCCCTGCAATCGCCAACACCCAATTTTGCCTCAACACCAAATCCTACACCCAATCCAACACCTTCGAAACCGTCAACAACGCACATAGCTAAAACTCCCTCCATACCCTACTCCCTACAAAGCAGTGAAAAAATTGCTCTAATGAGACAACAGCTGGAGCAAAATAAATTGCGTATGGCTCAAAAGGCCTCGAGTAAACAGCATTTAGAGCAATTGGTTTCACAGCTAAAAGATAAATTCGAAAGCACCCAACAGTGTCTGGAGGATACTACCGAATTGGGTAGATCTATGTCAGATTTAAGTAATTTGGTCCACTACACACCCGTCAGTCGGGAACGACACAAATCTGCTACAGACTTAAGTAGTCAAAACTTTAGTCTGGAAAAAGAGCGCATAAAATTCCTAGAAAATCGTTGTCGTCTTCTAGAAAAGCAGCTGGACAAGGAAAAACAAAACAATCAACGCAACATTTCAGCCAATGTGTCCAGCAACACTAATGAACTAGAAGGCAAAATATCCGATTTAGAATTGTCTTTGCAAGAAAAAGAAAAAGAGTTTGCAGCTAAAGAAACTAGCTTCAAGGAAGAACTTAAGAAGTTGCAAAACAGTAGAGAAATAACAGATTTTGAGGCTTCCGAGGAAAATGCTAAACTATTAAAAGAAAATGAAGAATTAAAATTACAAATAGAAAGAATTAACAACGAAAACAATAAACAAGACTTGCAGCAACAAATTGATTTATTAAATCAAGAAAATGCACAACTAAAACAGCAACTGGAAACACTTAGCAAACAATTGGAAGTATTTACCTCAGATGCAACTGAAGAAAATGCCACCTCACACCTTCAAAGCGAAATAGAAGAGTTAAAGAAACAGTTGGAAACTTTCAAATCTAAAGAATCGGCCGAAACCCTGGATATATTAAACGAAAACCATTTACTAAAACAGGAAACTGAAACCCAATTGAAACGTATACAAGAGTTGAATGAAATTAATGATGTTTTGGAAACCACTAGATGTGATTTGACTTCCAAATGCACCGAGTTGGAAGAACAAATCAAACATCTGCAGGCTGATGTTATAGTGGCACAAGAGAAACTACGATTGTCCGAAGAAAAATGTGCCGAGTTAGAGCACAATAATAAAAATTCACAAACAACTTCCTCCTCTTCAGCAGTTACCTCATCGACCGATATCGACAGCCAAGTTAAGGCTGAAATGGCCAAACAAATACAAGAACTTATGGACGAATTATTAGAGGTAAAAACGGAAAATTCTAAACTTAAAGAAACCTTAAATGAACAAGAAAAATTGGAGGTTAATGACAGTTCTATAGCCGAAAAACTAGCCAGCTTGGAAGCCTGCATAGAGGCTCAAAGAGAGGATCTACTGAAATCCCAAGAATCCCAAAAGAAATACGAAGAGGAATTAATGGAAAAGACCATAGAGTTGAATGTATTAAATGCCAATTTCAAGGTTTTAGAGGAAAAATTGGAAAATTCTTCTAAAACCAAACAACTATTCTCCTCTAGCAGTTCCTCCAACCAGGACTCTAACAATCCAGAACTGGAAATGGAAAATCAACAATTGAAACAGAAGCTGGATGAATCTAATAAGGCCATGATTAAGCTGAAATTAAAATGTAAACAAACTGAAAAACAAATAGAAAAATTGAAAAAAGGTTCCGATTTGCATGCCGAGGTAGTAAAACTGAATAAAGAAAAAGACAAATTGCAGCAAAAGATTACCGAATTGGAAGATGAAAAAGGTCAATGGCAGTTGACGCAAATGGAAACTTCCCAGAATAGTACCAAAGAAGAGGCCGCCACTAAAGAAAATCTGCACAAAGAATGCGAAGAAAAAATTGAAAAATTAGAAACTTTGGTAAAAGAAAAGGAAGTTTTATTGGAGTCCTTAAAGCAAGGAGAACAATCCCGTGTTACCTCCGAACTGAGTGAAATACAATTGGAGGAACAAGTCAAGGAGTTAACAGAAGAATTAACAGCTCTACGCAAAGACTTGGAAATAAACGA